TTTAACAACGTTGTCATCTGTACGCGAAAAACGCAAAGGAAATGTTACCCTCAGTAACATTCAGTGCAAACAGTGAAGTATGATTCCCAAACAAATGAGTATCATGAGTCGGTTCTTATGAGTTAATTAAAACACTTTATTTACTATAGTAATAACAGTAAATTATGGATAATTACATGCAACTAACCCTAAACCAAACCTTAACCCTAACCTCAACCCTACAGTAAGTACATGTAATTAATTAATATTACTTAGTACTTAATTATGTAATTACACTGTAACAACGTCTCCTTAATATAAAGTGTAACCCAGTGTAGTAACTGGCTGGTTGTTCATATGACAATGTGTTTAGATAGCCTACACATTTTGTGTTTTGTCAGTAATAAAAAAAGAAAAACAGAAAAAAATAATAAAATATGTTTACCACATTTTTTTATTGGTTTACTATTGCTGTTTAATGCACAATTATGATGTATTATTGCATAGTTTTTGTGTTTTCTCAAGAAAAAAACACTGTAAAAATATATATCAATAAGTTATGACAACATTTGTTTTTACATTGCTTTAACTCATCAAAATAAGTTGTGTGTGTCTCATCAATTTACTTTTTATTATACCGTTATACAAGATTCAACTCATTTTTTAGGTCAGTTTAATGTAATCTAAGTTGAAATGACTTAAACATCCAAGTTGATTGTACTTAAAAATGTACAGTTTTACAGTGTAAAAAGTCCAATCACCTTTTGCAAGAATTGTTTGACATTTATTAATTAATTTATTTCATTCCCCCCCCCCCCTAAATATTTATTCCTAAAAAGTATTAAAAGAATGGTATATGTAACTGTTGAGGAACCAGAACCATGATGAGGAATCAAAACTGGAATCATTCATTTCAATACAGTTTCCATCCCTAGACCTAATAGTTCACATTAGAAGAAGTCTTTTGACCTTCGATGACGTCAAAGCTTCTCTTTCCAACAATGTGTCACAATGATGTCGCGCTGCCTGGAACAGGGTTAAGTTGTGTTATCCAGAGGGCCATTTGGTCTAACCTGGCCATTCTTAATCTCTAAACCGCCTGCTACCTGCTGAGTTGACCTGAGGTTTCTTCACCGAGAGCTTGGTTGGATGGTCGATCAAAGTGTATCTTTTTAACGACGGTGGCGGGGAGGGCAAGCAGGGAAACATGAGATAAATGAGATATCACCGTGGCAAGTGCTCCAAGCCAGCAGGTGTTTTTGAGGCTATTTTTAGCTCAATTAGGGCAGCGAGCCCAATGCCTGTGACTCATTGTTGAAGCTCATTGGCTGACTCCATGAGTGCTGTAACAGGCTGCTCTTTGTGAAGAGCTCTCTCAAGTCAGAATTAATATTCCCCCCATCATTCCAGGATGCTTAGGGTCCTCACTACAGAGAGCCGCAAATGTCTCTTCAAACTCTTTTCCAAGAAGTGCCGTCACGACAACAAACCAAGGTGAATTTTTGCTAAACACCCAGAAGTTGGCTTCAAACGCTTGCTTCGAGCTCTACTGGAGCTGACAGGCATAGCTGACGTGTATGAGTGTCGACAGAAAGAGGGAGCATGTGTGTGTGTGTGTGTGTGTGTGTGTATGTTTCTGTCTTATATAAGGGATGATATAATATCCATGGGTGCTCTCGGGGAGGAGACACCATACAGCGCAGCTCAATATCTGCAGGAAGAGGAGTCGTTATGATGTCGCCAGTGTTGCCATGGCAGCCGGTTTGGGTGGTGGATTGGGTGTGCGTTTTGTCATAGTCTAAGATTGCACCACTTGCTTTTATGTTGCTATTTATAATCAGCGGTTGCGCATGCAGACATTTTTGATGATGGTGAAGAACATTATGTTCAATCAAACAAGCACAGAAATGCTTCACCATTAAGGTGTGAATTGCTGCGTGTGTCACAATAATTGCCTTGCTATGGCAACTCATTAGGGGAATATTCTAGGCTTAAGAGACACTGGTTCATGGATAGAATTCATGCTTTAAAGGCTTTTCCTCTTTGTGTGTGTGCGTGTGTGAGCACTGAACAGGTGGGAGTGTGTTATGCCAATAACAAGCTTTCTGAGGATTAAAGATACATAGCTAATTAATCTAGTCTCTTGCATCTAGTGTGTTTACTAAAATACTATCTGTCTGTCTATCTGTCTATCTATCTATCTATCTATCTATCTATCTATCTATCTATCTATCTATCTATCTATCTATCTATCTATCTATCTATCAATCTATCAATCTATCTCATCATTCTATCATTTGTTCTATTTATGTCTGTCTGCACTGTAAATGTCCTCAAATCATTACATGTAGGCCTATATTTTGTATCTTTTTTTCAGACTGATCTCATGAAATGGCGTATGTATGACACGCCAATTCGTATTTCCATTTTTGGCGTGCTATCAACACGCATAATCGCTTTACAGCGTGTTTATCAACGCCGTTGACTTAACGTTACATTACTGTATATAAATATTTGACCTACCCCAACCCCGTCCCTAAACCTACCCGTCACTGGGGTTAATACCATTTATGAGTGTTCCCCTACCATCCTATAGGAAAAAAAATATCGCTCCCCAGATGTAGATCTACATTTTGCTTCGTTTCACTCGGACATTTACACGCGGAATCACTCGGACATTTAACGGCGTACACATACACGCAAAAGATGACGGTTCGTTTCGGCGTGGACATACACGCGGATAGCTCAAAATGCGTATAGATAACACGCCACTTGACTTGAAAGTGGCGTGTATGTTTACGCAAAGTCATGATGCCATGTTGCTTTTTTTTTCTGCACTGACTACTTTGAGTTTTACTTACTCCCAAAACTTAACTTCAATAACTTTTCAGTAACTTTATTTATTTATTTATTTAGTCAATTCAAATACTTTGGACAAATCAATTGGATTAACACAGTAAATTAAGTTTATTTGAATAAAAAAAACGATCTGTTCAGTTTATCTGTCTATCACAAAAGAAGATATTTTAAATAATATTTCAAGTGTTCAATTTACATAATCAAAGACGGGACCAACAACATTGACACAGCACAGACAAAAAATAAATCAGACATTTTTCAAAATATCTTCTTTTGTGTTCTATACAGAAGAAAGAGAGTGATCAATTTTTTTTTAACCTGAAACCATATTCTCAGTTATCGATTCTGTGCAGTTTATCAGCCATTGACATTGTGTACTAAAACTCTCATTAAAAACTAGCCAACTAATCCATCATGTTGACTAAGAGGAAAACCTATTTGACTTAATCATGTTTCCAGACACTTGCTTACTCAGATGATCTTAAAGTGAATTGTTTTCTGTGCGGGGCTTCCTGATGTTACATCATTCCCAATTGTGTAACAACCACTTCAGCGAGTACTTTTCCTAAATGTGGAACCTAGATTCACTGAATCATAAGTACATCTTGACAAGCCTCTCTGTAAACTTCTTTGTCTTTCTTCTCCACACCCATAGAACATTCTGTCCGTACGTGCACTTTCCAAACCCCATCTCTAAGTAATTGCTTTTCGTCTTTCAGAAGAGACACATTCTCTTATGATAAACATCTCCTCTGTGTTTCAGGCTTGCTATTGATTTTCACTCTGTTGGATATAGTTCTTGGGGCCTTAGGGGTGTCCTCTGCTTTTTGTACCCGGTGTATTACTTGTAATGAGGCGCAGCTTGAAGACTACAGCAGCAATTTTCCATAATGGTGAAGGTGTGATGATGGCTCTAAGGGGGGAGAACGGCGGGGGAATAAAAGGCAGGAACACAAACATCACAACTATGTTGTGACATACATAACAAACTGTGGCACTGCAGTCTCCTTTCAAACCAGAGGAGTCAGTACACATTGGACCAAATCATGGCTAGTAATAACCTTTGGAATTATACGTGATGGGATTCTTATATACACACTACTGCAAAAAATAAAAATAAAAATAGAGTTCCTTCACTCTCTCTACTGTATCTCTGCATGCTGTATCAGAGAAGCTCCTATGGGGCCATACATTCTTGATGACTTTGAGATGTAGTTGGTTGCTTAAGGCCAATTATATAAAAAGTTATAACTACAATCATAAGTTTTAAAAATCACTCTACACCACAACTGTAACCATAATTACATTAATATAATGACAAATAATATTGTTAGAGCAATTTTCCCAACTTGACTTAATTTTTTACTGAACATAACTAAAGCGAATTTTTTATGGAAGCTTGTTTCCTCCACAGAATAAAAAATAAAAAAGGTAATTGCGACTTTATCTCACAATTCTGACTTTTTTTCTCTCACAATTGCGAGTTTACATCTCGCAATTCTGACTTTTTATCTCAGAATTGCGAGATATAAACTCGCAAAAATCAAAATAAAAAAACTCGCAAAAAACAAAAATGTTCTGATTTTATTACACACAAGTGCAACTTTATATCACGCAATTCTGACTTTATATCTCGCAATTCTGCAAAGTGTTTAGAAATGTACTCCTTGAATGCATGTTGTTCATACGTTTTAGATTTTTTTCAATTTTACATTGTAATGTCTCTAAAAATGTCATGTGGTGTAACTATCAAGTGAAAAAGTAGTAGCATATTTTCCTAATATCTTGAATACTTGTGAGTGTACACATTTTAATCACTATTTTCATATTTTATATATATATTCACATTATTATATTTTATATATTTTTAAAATATATTTGTCAAGGTTAAAAGTTACCTTGAAAAAAAGTTACACCACATGGCATTTTGCATTCTTGCCTTGCCATTAAAAAATGCCAAATTTTCTGATATTTTAATGCATGTTGTTTGGACCACATGACTTTTTTGGTTGCACCACATGTCAAAAAAAGTTTGTAATATGTCTAAAGAATGTCATACCTGATCATTACAATATCTCTGAATGATTAATAATAATAACCCTTCAAAACATATAAAGACATCTGTACTAAATCCTTGCATTCTCACCCCTTTTTTTTCTCAGTGGACATTAAGCCAGAGGTTCCACTGGCTCTTGATCCAGGCTCCCCGTTGGACTTGCGTACAGACGTTAGGATGCAGGGTTCTGCTTCGGACCCCATTGTGTGGGAAAGACAACTTCAACAAGAGCTGCTCCTTATTCAGAAGCAGCAGCAGATTCAGAAACAGTTACTCATCAGTGAGTTCCAGAAACAGCACGAGAACCTGGTTCGCCAGCACCAGGCACAGATACAGGAGCATTTGAAGGTAACAACACAACCCTATTGACATACTAAGTTGATACAACGCAAAAAGCAAGAAGTGCAATACAACCATACAGTCTGACTAGATAAATAAATGTGTAATAAACATCTGCCTCTCAGTTGCAGCAGGAACTACATGTCATGAAGCAACAACAGGAGCAGCTGGAGAAAGAGAGGAAACTAGAGCTACAGAGTCAGGAGAGAGAACTGGAGAGGCATCGGCGTGAACAACAAGTCCTGGTCCTCCGCAACAGAGAGCGGAGCAGAGAGAGTAAGAGCTCATCATCACGATCACCCACACAACACTCAAACACTCCACAACCTGTCTGTATCTAATGACATCAAAATGGCATCAGTCAAATGACGTCTGGGTCTTTTACATGTTCAAGGTGTTGATCAACACAGGATGAAACTGACAACAAAAAACGACTATATCTTGTCGGCTAGATCTGAACTGTACGCCAGTTTAGATTTGTTTAAAAAAAAAAGGAAAATGTAACAAAATGACATTAAAAAGTACATATAATAGAGGGTAAAAGTTATTGAACATCAAAAATAACAGAGGAAAAGGTAAAGTACATGTCTGTGTGTAATTGGGTAAAATGTGGGTAAATGTGACCAATGCGACTTTATATATATTTAAATATTAGTTAAACCTTTAACAATATGTTTATATTATAAAACAAATGCACAAACTGATATGGGTGAATATGAAGGTTACATTTTCCCTAAAAGAATACAGACAGTATATTGTTATGTACATATATTGTTTATACATATTTATATATTTGTAAACCCTTTAATATGTATGTATATATATATATATATATATATATATATATATAGGGTTTACAACAAATATGTATACATATGCATAAATAATATATAGAATTTGGGAGGAGTGAATATATCATTACTTCATTACAGATTAATTAAAATTTTGGGGGGAAATGTGAAATTGTCATCTCATAGTGTAAAAAACTAAAATACAATTGGATTGGACCATTAGATAGTTATTTCAATAGACTTCATTTCTATAGGCTCCCTTTTCTATACGCATGACATAATCACTTTTAATGGGAAATATGACTGAATATGAATGTTCTGGACAGGTTTCATAAGATTTACCCATAAACGGATCAATTAGAACTTCATTTTTGCTCATGAAGTTCGATATATGACATCCTTGAATGGTGCCTCACTCCTGCTGTCCAGAAGAGGGAGATATTCCTTCATTTGTTTAAATGTGCTCAAACATATTTAGGCAATAATGCTATATAGGCATCTGAACTGTAGCTTTTGAGAAGAGCGTGTGGGTGAATGTGTAGGAGAGATGCTATTGTTTGAGTTGAGGCTGATCCTGCTGTGTCTGGGAGTGGCAGTAATACAATCATTTCTCTGACCTTGAAATGAAGCCAAAACTCTGCAAGCATTCTTTCTGTTTACAGTGACTCTAACCAGAGACCTAGCTGAGCTCTGTCAGGAATGTCTCAGTTTTATTGTATTAATTTGATCAAACCCCAAGATGTTTATGATTTCTCTGTGTGCGTCTCCTGGTCTGACAGGTGCAGCGGCCAGCACTGAGGTCAAGCAGAAACTACAAGAGTTTCTGTTGAGTAAATCCACCAAAGACGGCATGTCAAATGGGGTCCCCCAGAAAATCACACAGGGCTCCAAAATGTGGTACACGTAAGTAACCCGCACAAGCCTCAAACCATTTGCTTTTTTAAATAAGCTGAAATGTGTTATTTCAGACTTTTCAATTTAAATGGATGTAGCACAGAAATACCACAAACATTTAAATACTGTCTAAGCATGTGATATATTAATAGATATTTAAAAAATTTAGCACTTTAGATTCACTATTCACACATATTCACTATTAACTAGTTGCTTATTAGCATGCATTTTACTAACATACTAATACCTAAAAATAACTACTACAGCAACTACTGTACCTTATTACTATCAATAAGGAGTAAGAGTTTTTTTAGGGAAAACCCCCAACTTTAAAGTGTAGTGTTTTAAAATATTAAATACAAATAAAGTTAAATGTAGGCTACTTATTGTTTATAAAATAAATAAAGCAAGACTGGAAACACTTTTCAGATTTTTCAAAGTAATACAATTCTGATTTTAGCTAATAATCAGTAAAGTGATACTAAGGTGGATGGTACTAGAGCACATAAGGGCTGTCAGCTGTATTTATGACTGTGAGGTAAGTTCAGGAGTTCAGTTTGCATCTCCTTTCTGTTCAGGGCCTCCCATCACACCTCTCTGGAGCAAAGTTCACCTCCTTTGGGAGGCGCGTCCTCCTCCTACAAGATCTCCCTGCCCTCCCCACAGGACTGCCGGGACGACTTTCCTCTGAGGAAGACAGGTAGGTTTCTAAAAGTTGGCCTCTCAAAATCCATTTTTTAAAATTTAGCTGTACTGTCTCAAAAAAGGAGTCACACAATCCGTTCCCACTATCATTTTGTGATATTGCCAAAATGTGTGTTGCACATACAATATTTAATTTGTAGCTTTGCTCACAATTCATTGCTTCTTGCACTAAGGAGGGGTTCTGATTAGAGTGTTTTCCCCAGAATTACAGGATCCCTTGAGAGAGATAATACCCGTATTTGCATTATTTCATGGATAGTTTAAGTACAGTAAATGAAGAGTATAGATTTCCACAGTAGGATTTCTTTCCCTCATAGCATGCGACTGAACCACAAATTTCCTAAAACACTAAAAGGTGTATAATTTTCAGCTATATAAGAGGCTTTAATAATTTAGAAAATCCTTGACTTTTCACAAGAAAACACCACAGGTTTGTTGACTCAGTGTTGGAGGGAGTCTCGTAGGAAGTCAGTATTAGTGTGAGTTATGACTCCCACTTGGCCGGCCAGTCACGAGTTCTTGCAAAGGGCGAACTGTTCATAACTGTGCTGTTAAGTCACGGAAATGACATTACATTCCTTCCCCTTTGTGTCCCTTTGAATTATGATGGTAAACAATTATACCTGCTTAAATGCTTCACCATATGGGTTGGCATGTTGTGTATTTACGTAATTTAGGGATCAGGCAATGGAGGTTTAATCCCAAATTATGCAGACTGTGTGTGCCAAATGTAAACTAATCTAAGGTAATTATGTAGGTTGTTCTGTTCAAATAAGCTCTTTATGGACACATGAAAGAGACATGTTTATTGTCTTAGCTTTTCAACAGTAACCTCCCAGTTTCAGCATCAATTTCTGCTTCGCTCCACTGAAACCAGCCAATATCCTGAGAACTAAAAGGAGCGGAAGGTTCTGGAATCCAAACAGCCTGCTGAGAAAGCAGTCCCAAAAAAAGAAAAAAAGAAAAGAAAAAAAAGGCCTGAGCTGTTGCTGTTAGGAAAACTTACAAATATGAACTGCTTTGGTCCCTATTACATATTAAGATCAATAACATATTATTGATTGATTATTGATAGACCATGATAAAGGAAAGGGAAAATCTTGTTAAAACACATGCCAATTTTTTTTTTTTTTAGAAATGTCTCTTATTGGGTTTGTGCGGTTTTGAAAAAAAAAACGTTTTACACATTTTACGAAATGTTTAAATTTAATGGGTCTCATTCATGAAACACGAGCAGAACGAATTTTTGTGTAAATCGTGTGTAAAGTGGTTCTGGCGTAAATTTTCGGATTCATTAAAATGTTCGTATTTTCCAAATGTTAGCTGGTACGAAAGAAATCTACACCTGCTCCCAGCCACGCGTAAGTAGTGAGATTAACATCCGAACGTTTTGCTCATTAATAACTAAGGCTGCATTTTAATTCACCTTAATCGGGTACATATTTACACAGCATTTTATTATATATAGTAATTACATATGGTTTTTCTTTTCACTTCTGGGACTGTTTGATTAACAGATGAAACTCCATTAACTGCATCTGTAATATGCTGCCAAGCTTCCTTTTTTTAGGACCTGATACGCCACTATGTAGCCTATGCTTGAAAATAAAATGTGGTGTTTTGAATGAACTTCTGATAATAAAACTTTGATTTCTGCATCTGAGAAAATTTTCTTTTTCATTCGTTTTTGAGAAGACATGTTGAAATCCTTTGTTTGATGCCCATATATAGTTGTCAGTCGGATTTAATGGGCGGGATTTATGGTAATTGAGAATGAGCGTGCACGCGCGTCCCATATACGACTGATTGGAATTCATTAACACACACACACACACACACATTTCACTACCACATCTGACGTTTACGAAGTATTTGTTTTCGGGAAGGTCTCTTTACGCGCAAATCACTCTCATATTTACTCGTATATTTACGAATGTTTCATGAATGAGACCCAATGACTCTAAAAATGTCATGTGGTGTAACCATCAAGTAATATTCTTGTATTTTTGTGTACACATCTTAATTTTAAAATATATTTTTAACAATAACAATATTTTACTATTTTTGCACAGAGACTTTTTGACCTTGACAGACACTCGATGATATAATTGCCTGTTTTATGTTTTTTGTCTCTGTGTTTCAGCGTGTTGGTTGCACGACATGACTTTTTAAATACGAAAATACAAAATTCTAATACAAATTCGGCGTTTTTCTTAATGCGTTATTATATATTTTTCAATATAACTTATTGAAGTGACAAAATTTCGGAAATAAACCGTTTCATAGAGAATTAACTTTTAATGTTTGTCAAATCATATTAATATATGCTACCGAAAGCCAAATAAGTGTCAGGAATAACCCGTCCTTTATGTGTGTTAATCTTATCCATTGCCTAAACCTTTTAAAACGTATTTCCTGCTAGTTGGATTCCAAACTCTATATGTGGTCACACCCGTGTAAGGACCCCTCCCCCTCTTCCTGTCTGTCTCAATTAGATGTAGATGCACACAACAGGAGCCACACAAAGATGCTGGTTGTTCCACATCCTGGATTTCATGGGAGATGCTTGACTGGCATATGTCAAACGTTTAGGTTAGCGCTGTAGAGAGAACCAAAACAAGGCTGTTTTGTGAGTGCTACAATAACTGACACTTTTTCAAGAGGTAATTTTAACCTTAATTTCCCCGGGGTCCTCAATGCTGTATCATCTACATAACTCAATGTGGCTTTGGTTTGATCTCACTGTTGTGAAAAAAACCCTTGATTAAACTTGTCAAAGAAAAACAAGCTGTTTATCTCAAAAGGATCACATGATTAGCTTGTTTACCCGCCACCTATCTTCTTTGTGCCAAGTTCTGGACTAGAAAAGATCCGTGTGGTGTGGGGGCACTTGACACTGCTGCGGGCAAGAATAGCCCAGCTTATTGAAGACGGGGAAAAAAAAACTCCTTCTTATGACCCACATACCAAACATGTAGAGCAGGTGCAACTGAGATGAAAGGGATTGGAGTTTGTGTGTCTTAAATGTGGATATTTTGGGCCATCAGACCAGGGATGATTTATAATGATCCAATGATGAAGTAATATGGTTTGCAAGGGCAGTGTTGTTGCATCACAAAGCCTTCATCTCCTGGGTAAACAGGTGTTTGTATTTTTACTAATGAGAGAAACAAGTATCAGAGAGGCCATAGACAGGATAATGTGTGTGCACAGATGGGTTATCTTTAGAAGGTCTGACTCTGCTCTTCTTTTAAAGGCCCCCTGAAATCAAAATTTAAGTTATTTAGCTTTTGGTATGAATATGTTAGCCTTAAGGTTATGAATAAGCTGGTGTGTTCCAAAACAATGACAAAATTCCCATTTAGGAGATATAAGCATTCAAAACGATTTTTATGACATAACCGAGGACTTCAGCTTCTCATCACATCTTCTGTCCAATCAAATGCTCTCTAGAATCTAAAGCGTCCCGCCTCCTATGCTATAAATCCCACCTGGCCAAAGCGACCGTTGACACGTCACGGAGCAATATGGGTTGAAAATGTGTGTTCGGTTGCTCAAACGCTAGAGTTTTATTCCGTTTTCCAATTGTTCGTTGGTTAAGAATGAAATGGCTAGAATTTATTCACACCTATTGAATCCAATTTTCACGCACATTTTTACTCACACTTGCACTTGGTGTTTGTTAATTATTGATCCTAGTTACCACATCTTAGTAGAGATGATCTTTTTTGTCTCTTTACACATACACATTGGCTACACTCCTCACACTTGTCCGACACATGCTAAGCCACACAACTTTGAGGGGAACCTCATCTTCGAGTTGAGACAACACAATAAATAGAACTCAGCAGTGTGTACCCTCCAGTGCTGCTTTCAAGGGTAATAATATGATTGATTTATAGGCCTGTTAAGTCTTTGCCTCATACATATTCCTGTTTGGCTTGGCATCTAGTTCCAGGCCGTATACGTCAGCACGGGGAAAAATCAAGCAGGTGTCGGGCCTGTCTCTCCGACAGAGTGATGACCACTGTTTTTAGCGAAGCTGTGGAGTAGAGTGATGAGTTCTCCCATGGCATCACGATCACAGCCTCCTACTAAACCCACCAACAATCGCTCTTCCACCTCCACAGCAATAGGGTAGCGTTCCCGTGGTGACAGGCTGTAGCGCCGGAATAAAAATAGAAGGCAATCAGGACAGTGTGGGGTGCAAGGCGGATTGGAGAGGGCTCCCTGCAGTTCGCTCTCAGCCCACTCCGCTTGCGGGATTTACATCCCATTAGTGCACTGCTGGATGGGAGCAGACAGTCCTGCCTCTGCTTCTGAAGAGGCCTGAAATAGCAGCCCAGCCTGCGGTCCAGTTCTTTCCCTTGAGATTACTACTTACAGCTGCGTCTTCCCATGACTCCCACTGCTCATACAAGTCATCCTGTATGGTCATTTACATTTGGTCAACTGTCTTTTTAGGATGGCAACAATACGTTTCTAAAATAAATCAAGATCATAAGACCTTAACTGGAGGGCCGAATGACATAAAGTGGCAAACAAACAATAATACAAAAATTGTTTATCTTGCATAACTGTGATATATATATATATATATATATATATATATACAACATATATATACACAACATATATATATATATATCACAGTTATGCAAGATAAAAAAATTTTGTATTATTGTTTGTTTGCCACTTTATGTCATTCGGCCCTCCAGTTAAGGTCTTATGATCTTGATTTATTTTAGAAACGTATTGTTGCCATCCTAAAAAGACAGTTGACCAAATGTAAATGACCATACAGGATGACTTGTATGAGACTTGTATGAGAAAAAAATATAAAAAATTATATCTGGTCTCTGAATAATTTTTGGTTTGACTGTATATATATATATATATATATATATATATATATACAACATATATATACACAACACATATATATATATATATATATATATATATATATATATATATATATACAGTCAAACCAAAAATTATTCAGAGACCAGATATAATTTTTTATATTTTTTTTACTAGTGGGTACAGGACGCTATAGTTCATTTATGTAAGTGAGGATAGCAAAATAAAGTAAACTATGACATATTATACCCAAAAATTCTTCATACAGTGGACTACCAGTAAAATGTATAAAAATTTGGAACCAAAAATTGTATTCAGACACTTTGACCTGACCGAGTGTTTTTTCTTTAATTGCTTTTTACACCACAGACTGAACAAAATTAAGCATTGCATGGTAATTGGTTGACATACATTGGTATTATCTAATTGTGTACTTAAATTTAACAGCTGACAGCTATTCAACCTAATTCATTTGTGAGACAGTCTTACAGAAGGATGGCCAAAGCCAGTGAAATATAAACTGATTTGATAGAGTTCTTGTCTATTACCATTTTCTAAACTATAGCAAATAAACTGTGATAATGTGAGAAATGTTGATAGTGTCTGAATACATTTTGGTTTGACTATATATATATATATATATATATATATATATATAGGGAATGTGACACAAAACCAGTTGAGAACCACTGATCAACATAATAACTTGCTCACTGGGTGGTACTACTGCACAATGGGGAACTGATGGGGGAAAAAATAAAACAGCATTCATAATAATGAGACCAAATTTCGGTATTTCTGGCTGCTAGTTGTGATATGGGTGTTTTCCAAAGGGAGGCACTGAATGTGTGTGGCTGACTTACTCACTCACTTCCCATCAGGGAGATGTTTAGAAACACTTGCCTGTAGATTACAGTCATGCAAAACAGACACTTCTCCATAATTCAACAGTATTTAAATGATGGCAAAATGCTCCATAGGGTGTAATTTGAATATAATGATGTAAATATATATATTTTTTCTATTGTAGTCATTGTCGATTTTTTTATGTTTTGAATTAATATGATTTTGCATAGAAGACATGTTACTTTTACTTGCCAAAACATCTGCCAACGTTGTCTGTTAATTTAATTACTACTGTACAGAGACTCACTATAAAAAAAAAAAACTAAAAACCATAAAATTGGCTTAATAATAATCTTAATAATTGGCTTAATAATCTAAATTGAAGTTGCCATGACTATTATTGTAGTATTTTTAAAAATGTTATATTATTCAAATCCTGAATTAAGGATTTGTACAAATTTGCATTAATAATAACAAATTGTTCTACTAAAATACAGTAAAACGTTGTTTTGATTTGTTATGTTAAAAACTAATTTTTGTGGAAACCATGATACATTTTTTTTTAGGATTCTCTGAAGAATAAAGATTGAAAAAAGAACAGTGCTTACTTGAAATAGTAATGTTTTTAAACATTATAAATCTCTTCACTTTTAATAAATTTAATATGTCCTTGCTGTATAAAAGCATTAATTTCTTTAAATAAAATAAAAAAAATCTCACTGAGCCAAAAAACTATTATTATATATTACTATTTTACTATGTTCAAACATTACACCATGCCAACATTTTTTTCTTTCTTATTTTATTTTATTTTTTTCACAATTTTTTTTTTATGGTCAGTGTATGTCAAACCTTTGTGCTACTCAGCCTAATTTACTCCAGGTGATGAGGGAACTCTTATCTTTGAAAACAGCCTGCAAATGCCCACAGATCTAATCTCAGACCGATAACATCACAGCACAGGAATGCTACTACACAACACTGTGGATTCCCCTCTCCTGCTTACTAACAGGCACAGCTACAAATACATCAAAACATTTCCGTGACAACACTTAGCTAAATGAAGCTTAGAATCTAAAGTCGATTTTAGATTGGGAATATTTGATTTAAATGTGTCACTGTTTTCTCTTCAGTCTCAGAGCCCAATCTAAAGGTGCGGTCCAGGTTAAAGCAGAAGGTTGCAGAGAGGAGGAGCAGCCCACTTCTCAGGAGGAAGGAGGGGAGCATCATGACACCCTTCAAAAAGAGAGCCCTGGAGCTTCTGGGTAGGAGTGCCGTCCCATAATGCATCTCACATTAGACAATATACCTGGGGCATAAACAATAAGACATCCTACTGGTTGGCATCCACTGTCTGTGAAGCTCAGTGTTATTACGTAATGGCCGCTCTGGCAGGTGTAATCCGGAGTGCCATCCAATGTGGTTTGGAGCCTTGGCCGGTTGAATGATTTTTCCATGGTATTTCAGTCGCTTATGTATATTTATAATGTATCTGTGGCAGCAGTTGGTGGTTGGGTTTGGAAAAACACAGTGGCAAGATTGTCATCCAGTAAATCTTATGTAAAGATGCGAAATATGATATCATTCTATTGCTGTTCGCCAGTTGCCAGTCAATTTATCATAAAATCCATAGAGAGATGGATCAATGACATGACATGCATTTTTTTGTGCTGTCAAATCGATTAATCGTGGTTAATCGCATCTAACTTAAAAGTGTGTGTTTACATAATAAATGTGTGTGTATAATTATTATTAAATGTATATACATTGTATATATGTCTGTGTGTGTATACTGTATATACACACATATATTTATACACATATATACTGTATGTATGTGTATACATATACAAAGAAACGCACACACACAGACACATATATGATATATATAAATTTAATAATATATACACACACACATTATATAAACACAAACTTTTATGGTAGATGTGATTAATCGATTTGACAGCACTTTTTTGCCTGGATTTATTCATTTATTTTAAAATACATAAAAAATCGCAATATATATAGAATGACTTAAATAAATCTTTTTTTATAAACAAATTAAAATTCATTTTGATATTTTTGGGGATTCGCCATTGTGGGAATAATATATAATAATGTAATCCATAAAAAGTAACTGTAATCTCAATTACAAGTACTTAAGTACTTCTTGTAATTACAAGTTTAATTTTTAAAACTAAATTTTTGGAATCTGATTACATAATTGTGTGTGTATGTGTATATATTATATATATATATATATGTTATTCTTTTACCTTGAAAATTGCAGGTAAAATATACTTAGTTGAAAACTTTTGTTGATATATAGATCTGTACAGCTTATAAATGATAATGTCAATGATGTATACACTTGAACTTATGTCTGTTTAATTGAATCTTCCCCAGAATCCACAGCCAGCAGCAGTGCACCAGGATCGGGGCCCAGTTCACCCAACGGGGCCTGCAGTGCCTTAGGGGCTGAAAACGGACCCTCTTCACTACCAGTCACCACACGCACTGAGGTACTTACATTAAACATGTTTTATAACAGGTACAAAAGTCTATTAACAGTTTAGCTTTCTCACAGCAGTTTCATCAAAGCTTTCCTGAAAGATTAGAACCTGTACGACTTAAAGAAAAGTTGATGGCCACCAGGCCACACCCATACATTTCCTCGACACAAACCCAGCCTGTCCTTGTGCAGCTATGAAAACAGAACTCTGTCTCTACAGCATGTGACCTGCTTGTCCGTCGCAGTCCAATGAAAACGGCTCCCAGCACGGACAATAAAGAGTCAGTTCACTTCCTCCCACAAACTCCTGCTCTATAACCGCTAACATTTACTGGCACAGCTATGTGGTTTTCTTTGCCTGCGGCTCTCGTAAAGCTCAGGGCAAGAAAGAGTAGATCAGATACTGGTTGAAACAAAGTTACAGACATTACATCTGAGCCAGACATTTACACCTTCAATATAGCCTGCATTTTAAAGGAATATTCCAGGTTCAGTACAAGTTATGCTCAATCGACAGCACTGTTGTTGTTAATAATGTTGATCACCACAAAATGAATTTTGACCATCCATTTCTTTAAAAAAAAATCTAAATTCTGGTTTACATTGAGGCATTTGCAATGGAAGTGGAGGGGGGGAATTTGTAAATGTTAAAAAACTCACTGTCTCAAAAGTATGAGCACAAGATATATATAAAAAATATATGTTAACATGAGTTTTTATTTTTTTTTATTTTTTTATGAAGTGCTTTTATAAAATAATACATGTCAGATTTTAAATTGGCTGCTATTTAATTAAATAAATATATGCGCTGCGTGTTTAAAGGTGAAGCGCAACACTGTGTTCTTTTAGATGTCAGCAGCTAATAATAACGATAATAATCTCATAGTCATATTGATTTATAATCACAGAATTTTGGGAAAAATTACACAAGCTCTTATTAGAGATTTTTCTAAATAAAAAAAATCGCGATTATATATATATATTTTTCTCCAAATCTTGAATTCCTACTGCCGATTGAGCGTAACGCATTGAATCCAAAATGTTCATTAGCTCCCTCTGACTCACTTCCTGGTGGCTTCACAGCTCGGTTCCTCCAGGTCCCTGTGGACTTTGCTCACAAAGAGGTGTATTCTGGGCAAATGTGACATGTCTCTGTGAAGCCTCAGCTTAGCAGCTGTGTTATTCTTCAACACCACTGTTTACACTCCCATGGACCTCCAATGCAATAGCCGAGAAGGAATGCTTATTGCGCTGTGATCCAGGGTCGAGGTGGTGGGTGGTTGAGCTTAATTGATCCACCAGCCGCTGGTAGCCAAAGACACGCTAACAACACAAACACGCCCGATCGCTATTGTATTGACATAAGCTTGACGTCTCATGGATCGGACCGCTGGGTCGAGTTGCTACCCGCAGACAGCGCGCCAGTTTCGAAAGCGAGCCGTGTTTGTGATCCGTTACATTGGGTATCTTCTTTCAGAGGGAACTGGTCCCCTGGGTCAAATAAGGCCGGATATCCACATACAGGTCAGTGAATAAGCAGGAGGGATTGAAGGGTAAACAGTACAGCCTCTCTGCCACATGCTGATGGGCCGCACCACTGGGTGGAGGAAGTACAGTAGAAAACTGATCAGTTTTTATTCTCCGATACAGTTTGTGAAATGATCTCGACTGGGATACGATTCTGCATTTGTGGGTTTCTCTGTTGCCTTGGTTTTACGTCCTCCACGTTGAGCTCATACAGCTCCGCTGTGGCAGGAACAAAACCGTCATTCGTTTTAATACATTAAAGTTTATTGTTCTGTTGCTGTTGCTCTTTCCAATGGTCCGTAGTGGGATTTCAAAATATCTCTTTTTCTCTCTCCCCTTCCTCCATTCCCCTCTCTCTCTCTCTTTTTCCATCACAGCGGTGGCCGTCACAGTCCAGGTTATTAGGGCCTGAAAGCTCAATGTCTATGTTAAATCTCTATACGTCTCCATCACTGCCCAATATCTCCCTGGGTCTCCCGGCTGCCTCCTCTCCCATCAGTGTAAGTCAAGTAACCTTTTTTTATATAGCACTTTATACAATACAGATTGTTTCAAAGCAGCTTTACAGTGATAATAGGAAAATGATGCATTGTGTCTGTTGTTCAGCTGAAGTCAGTTCAGTGTTGATACAGTTCAATTGTAAAGATCATCAATTGTTAAATTAGTTCATTTCATCTATAAAGCAAGTGAAATAATGACATCCTCATTCATAAGTTCCCCCGTTAAGGCCTGTTCACACTAAGTCTAGATTTTCGGCATGAATAACATAACACACTGAATTAGACTGCAATGAGTATAGAGGAAGTGCATGTGTGTGCATATATATATACAGTATATACTGTATATATATATATACACTACCGTTCAAAAGTTTGGGGTCGGTACGATTTTAAATACTTTTAAAAGAATTCTCTTCTGCTAACCATGGCTGCGCTTGTTTGATTAAAAATACAACAAAAATCAGTTATAGTATTAAATATTTTTCCAGTGTAAATCAGCTGTTTTCTGTGTGAATATATAGTAAAGTGTAATTTATTCCTGTGATCAAAGCTGAATTTTCAGCATCACCAGTGTCAGTGTCTTCAGTGTCAAATGATCCTTCACAAATCAGTATAATATGAGGAATTGATGCTCAAGAAACATTTATTATTATTATCAATGTTGAAACAGTTGTTGGTCTGTCAGTTGTACAGTTTTTTTTTTTTTTGGGATTCTTTGATGAATAGGAAGTTCAAAAGAACAGCATTTGTTTGAAATAGAATCTTTTGTAACATTATAAATGTCTTTACTGTCCTTGATAAATAAATGTATTGATTTCTTTCCTCCAAAAAATAAAAATAAAATTCTCACTGACCCCAAACTTTTGAACGGTAGTGTATATACATGCATACATGAGATCAAGTGAAGATATAGTATGAGTCTATATATATCACTTGATCAAGCCTATTCAAAATAACTATGAAGATTATGTGCAAAACTACATATTTTCTAATATTTTATGAAATACAAAATAAAATAATAAATAATAAATCACATTTTTAATTTGAATGTCTCTTTCAAACTCTTGTCGTCCAAAACTGATTAACTTCTAATTAATTTTATGTGGATGTTTACGCTGATAAATGAGGGGAAATCTAGTTTATGGCCTTGGCTCAGCTGCATATTGCTTTGACTGTTGAAAGACTAGCCATCACTGGCTGGCTGGATGATATGTGTAGCCTCAGGGTACTGACCTTTGACCTTGGGGGATTTTATAGGCCTTAGATAAATATTGTGCTTAAGTGTCTGGTGTCAGTTGCACTCCAGCCCTCCCCATGCACCTCATCCATTACTGCTGTTTAAAGTCCAGCCAAACCAGGATAATTAAATGTAGCTCCAAATAATGTTTAATCTTCAGTTAATTTGCAGTTTAAATATCTTATTGCTCTTTACCCAAGAAAATTAAATAAACCTGAATACATTAGTCTGTATTTGGCTAATGCTATATTCAGGACCCTTCCACGTAATCTCTTGTTTATCATAGCACACATTGAGGTTTGAATCAGTATATTCAAAATTTTTGCAAGTGAACCAAGAGGGGGAAAAATAGACAATGTCCTCTCTCTCTATCACCTGTCAGGCTGCTTTAGGACTTCAGGAGAAGCATGTTGAGGCTGGTGGTGTATCAGCGGTCATTCAGGGTTTGCCCACGCACCTTCTGGGTCCAGTTCCCCTGTCTGTTGCGATGGAGACCAAAGTGAGCAGCAGCCACCAAGCTCTCCTGCAGCACCTCCTCCAGAAGGAACAACTTCGCCACCAAAAGATCCTCTCTACTGGTGAGAACATATACGAGATTACCAAATACTTCAGAACTCTCTATTCTAGGTCAATAGAATATAATACATTTTATTTCAATGGCTTTCACATGGCAATGTTAAGTTACAGGTACAGCCCCCCTGGAGCAACATGGGGTTAAGTGCCTTGATCAGCAGCACAACATTGGTGCTCAAGATTGTCCCTTGTGGGGTGTGAACCTGTAACCTTTCATCTTGTGGCCTAAAGTTTTTTTTTTTTAAAGGAATAGTTCACCCAAAGATTATGATCGTGTCATTAACCCTTACACGCATTCTTTAGGTCTTTGTCGACCTAGGATATCTTTCACTACCCTTCAAGTTCCCCTCATTCATTTTTTAAAGTTATACATCAACCTTCTTAGTATTCCTTAATCTATTCATTATAAACACATCATAAACAATATAACATTGTCTATATACATTTATATTTATCAGATACATACATTTTGTTACATAGGTCAAAGTCCTGTGCATCCTCCCTCTCCGCTGGCCATGATGGAAAGCTCTCCAAGCAGCACCCGACCCAAACTGCCTCGTCACCGGCCCTTAAACCGCACCCAATCTGCTCCGCTGCCCCAGAGCACACTAGCTCAACTTGTGATTCAGCAGCAACATCAGAACTTCCTGGAGAAGCAGAAACAGTACCAGCAACAGATCCACATCAACAAGGTACAATCATTTAGCCAACTGTCAGTGCGGCAATGATTTTAAGGTGTTTTTACACCTGGCTCGTTTGGAGAATTTGTTTTTTAAAACCTGGCACGTTTTCTCCCTTAGTTTGGTTCGTTTAGGCAAATTTGATCATGGCAATCGCACTTGGATCCACATCAAAACATATGTTGGCTTGTGAAAGCGAACCGAACCAAGAAGAAAATGCAACATTTGAACAATTTAAGTCTCTGTTTCGGAACAAAGCAAATGATCTAAATGTCTAAAAACACTCTTAGTACTGTCATGGGAAGATGAGGATGAAGCTGAATGATTATATTGTCATCATAAAACACATTTACCTTGAAATACCATTCGGTTCACATGGGAACTAAAGTTGGACAGCCCATCTCCATTATGTGAGGGGAAAAACATGTACTGGGTTCAGAAGCGGCATATGAATTAGCATAGCTTAAGGCATCAGCTGCATGCTAACACCACAAAATTGCATAGGGACAAGTTCAAATGTGCACCAAAGTGGATAGAATACATACTTTTGTTCCCTTGTGGAAATATTTGTGTTTCTGTGCACCAGCAGCCGTGACCTGGCCATCCGTTTAAGTGCAATTATTCTGCCGCGCATGCAAGGTTAGCGACACGGGAGGCTCGCGCTGTGAAAGACTCCATTGTTAACGGGAGCTTGCAGATTGATCTGCCTTATTATTGCTGAGAGTGCTATGGGAAATTCAAGGTTACATGTGCAATTTTCAAACATGAAGATCAAAAGTACCCAGAGAGCACTTGTTTTGCCTATTTATTGTTATGGCCTCAGTCACCAGGGGCATGTAAAAAAAAAAAAAAAGAAGAAGTCTGGTCTGGGTCACACATGACTGGAATAGTTGCATGAATGTAGTTTGAAAGTTGCTAACTGATTTGTTTTTCATGTTTAAATGATGTGAAACTAGCAAATCATGTTTAAATAGAAAACGAGTTAAGTGCAGAGTGCAGCTGTTTTTTTAAATATAGTTTAAAACGTGTTCTTAGAAATGTATTTAGGGCTATTTCGAGTCATGTTGGTATCATATGAATTTGAAAAACTTTTATACCATTTTCAAGAAAACTTTGTTTAATGATTCTAAAAAATGCAATGAGGTCTTAACCATCAAGTAAAAACTTGAAACATATTTTCCCTGCACATTGAATATATGTGCACAATTATGGAATCGCCACACTTAGAGGATGTTCACCCAGCTTTTTTCATTTATAGCAGACAAGCAAATCACAGATATGATACAAAAAATGCTTAGAGGGGGGAAAAGTATTTTCAAAAGGGTTTTGAAATGTGTTTTTTAAGGTAAATAGTTTATTTGACAAATATCATGAATTAATAATCCCTCATACATGTCATACATTTTTTGAGGCTGTTGGCCGCCTGATATTTTACAGCCTAAACTAAATTTGCCTTGCCACAAAAAGTTCAATTTGATATTGTAGGAGACATATATATAATATAATGTTTGGGTTTGGTTGCACCACATGACTTGTTGATTTGGCAAACGTTTTTTTTTTCTTCCAAATATTATTTCGATTATATTTTCAAAGGTATAAAAGATTATGCCAAGCTACATTAATTCATTTTCACATTTGTATTTTATTTTTTATTATGATTATGATATATCAGGACAGTTGTATCACCTTGACATTTTTAACTTGATGCCCCCAAAAATATCAAAATAAATTAATTCAGAAATTAAAAACATGCTTATCATAGAAGAGGTGTATATAAGTCATACAGTATATGAATTTAACTTTAATGTATTTCGAAGTAATTAATAGATCCTTTAAAAAAAAGAAAATCAGTCTCATTTAATTGATCCTGCTATTTTCAGCAACTGAAGAGTAAATAATCTGTCTTTGGATTGTCTGTAAGCCTAAAACAGATGTACCTAGAAGTAAATGATTTCTGAGGGAAATGAGGTCATGAATGCTGTGAAATCAGGGATTAGCTCTCTGGCTTAATAACTGAATGTTTTTTACATGTGCTAAATAGGGCACCTGTGTAATTTTACATCCAGCTTTAGTAGGAGATATAAAAAGTATGTTACTAATTCCCGGACACAATGACTATATTTACTTGGCGTAGGCTATATTTACATGAGGTTTAGATTCCTCCTCACTATTTAGCTGTTGTGTATGAGTTCCAATTCTGGTAAATGACACTGTTTGTGTAAATCACTCATCGACTGAAACGATTATGTACGTTGACGGAACCTCCAATAACAATAAACCGTGTTTCTCTCTCCCTTAGATGCTGTCGAAATCCATCGAGCAGCTCCGTCAGCCGAACGTCCACCTGCAGGAGTCAGAGGAGGAAGAGGGAGAGGATTTTCATGACCATCCCATGCAGGAGGACAGCTCGCCCTCTGGTGGTGTCATCAGGAGGCACAGTCCCGACAGCAACCGCAGCTCCGGATCACCCATCGAGCCACTGGACACTCACCCTGGGGTCATCCGGGTCAAAGAGGAGCCCGATGCCAGCGATGATGAGACAATGGCCACTCAGAGCCTGGCTGACAGGCAGAGCTCCTACATTCACCAGGTGAACGGGAGGATGGTGATACAGGCCATGATATGAAACGACAGATACATCTTCACACTTGCACACGAAGGCACAGGCTGACACACACACGACATGCTTACACGACACAGAGCCATTGCTTTTGGAGCTTCGGAACCGGTCGCATTCGTGAACTTGTGAAGTGATCTGTGTATTGTACGTTGTATGTTTTGTATATAATTGAATAAGATGAGAATTTTAGCCCACTTGGTCTTTTAAATGCTAAGAAGCAATTCTTGATTGTTTGTTGAAATAATAATTTAACAAATCATTTCTACTTTCTATCCGCTCTTTGAGAAACTGCAACTCAAAGCTCTTGTAGGATATTTCTGTGATTTTCCCATGGCACTATGGATTTCTTATAGATCTTAATTTGCTTTAAATGAATGTTATTATAAAGATATGTTACAGTACGTAAGAGTAAGCTTATTGTTTGCTGAAAGACTTACAGATCGTCTGGGGACAAAGTCGGTAAATGCACACAACAACAACAACAACAAATAAATTAAAGGAATAAAGGAATATTCAGGAATCAGTACAAATTATGATTAATTGACAGCACTTGTGGTATAATTTTGATTGCCACAAAAATATATATATTTATTAATATATATTAATAAATAAAAGGTTAAAAGTTAATGGCCAATTTTTAGTGTCAATAACACTTTTAATTAAAGTGTCAATAATAATATAATATAATAATTTTATGTAAATGGTAGATATTCTTCTATTGAAACTAGTGTATTATTTGAGCTGTAAAGTTCATTTTTATGGTCATTACCATGTTAACAAGTATATTGTTTACATCTTGTGGTTATACTAATAAAACTGAGCATTTTATTAGAGGCCCCATTTTTTTTTTCTTTCTTTTTTTTTGTAATCAATACTTTGCCAATAACTTGTATTGAACTGAACTTAACTTGCATTGAACCTGGAATATTCCTTTAACCGTTGGAACGCGATCCGGAAAGCTCTAGAATGACATTCTGTGTTCCTTGTTCTCCTGTGGCCCGAACCGAAGGCACTCTGCTCCATGCTGAATTTTCAGAGGGAGAGAGTTGTAGAGGAAATGCCTGGTGGAAGCCAGGAATCAGAATGATTCATGAGTGCAGGAATGCTGGGAGAGGACAACTCCATGCTGAAGTCAGAGGGCCCAGCAGTGAGCTCTGATTTACTGTTGAGGCAAATTACAAAGTGAGTGAGGAGACGGCGGGGGGAGCCCCCTTTTAAAACCAATCATTTCCTCTGTATTCCCACGTGATGTGTTTACCACGACACGCAGGCTTGATGTTTCTTTGGTAGAAAAAAAAAGGTAATCGTTCTGTTCTTTCCTGAGGCGGTGTTGCCATTCGTTGGCCGTCTTTTTTCATAAAGTGCTCAGATCAACTTGCGTGATCAAGAAACTATTGTCATTTTTTGTTAGCGAGCCATCTTTCCTGTATTCCTCTTTTTTTATTTCAAGCTTTTGGTGTGAAATTATGTTTTGTGAATGAAAAACATCAGCAAAAAAAAACAAAAAAAACTTAAAGAGGAAACCATGTTTAATTGATGTGAGCCATCACTATGTCTACAAATAGCCCGTGAGTCAACCTGAGCTGGCCTGTTTCATTCCTGTTGTCTTTTCCACTGGATGTTAATAAGAACTGTCCGCTAACGATAGAATGCCACATACAGTTTGTAACCGTACGTGTTTCCCTTCTGTCACAGATCACCTTTTATAAATAAAGTTCTTTTCCATCCTGTACTTCTCTGGACAATCTTTTCAATGAAGATTTTGATGAGTGAATTTAAAAAAATAAACAGAATTGGAGTGTAAAATGGAGTCGCTCCCTAACAAACTTTCCCACACTCAGCCAGAGTCCGGCTTCTGATTCTAAGGGCAATCCAGAGGTTTTAGTCTCTGACTTTGAAGGCTTTCGGAACGAGGCTTTGAAGTGAACATGAGAGGTTCCCTAAGTCTGCATTAAAGATGTTAAGATAAAGTGAACCTCAAGACGATGATATATAACCTGGGCTAAAGCGACCAGGTCAAGTTTAACCAATTATGCAAGGTAGGCTTAGCCGGAGCTCGGACAATTCCCAGTCTGAACTGGTGATCCAACTGCAGTGTGCCACCTGTAAATAGTCCATTTTTGGAGAATTTCAGTTTGAGCAGCTTATGTCTCAAATGTCTGATTCAAATATTTTGATATCTATATATTTAGATATAATATCTGATATCTAAAAAAAACACAATAAATTGCACATTTTTTAAACTTGTCCGGCAGGTCTCATCTTAAATATTCAGTGTTAGTGACTGATTGTCAGTTTTATGTCTGAAATTCTAAAAGTTTGATTATATTTTTGTGACTGTTTCAGAACATTCACCTAAATATAATTCACTATAAAACTATCAAATATAATTCTGTTTAAAACACTTTCTGTCTTGCTCTCTGACTAGATATGACCTATATTATAAACGAAGTGTGTAATTTCTGAGCCAATGACGTGACCAATCGGATTTGCAAAGAAAATAGCAGTCTTCAAACTGGTTTCATGGCCACGCCTCTCATCTCATCTGTCATTGGTTGACAAAGAGATAGTCCCACCCCTAACAAATAGCAATGTTTTTTGAAGACAAGAAAAAATTATATATATAAATTATTTGACTTTTGTTCAACATCATAATTGCCTGCATATTAATCCGGGGTAGGTGAAAGTATTTAATTATTCACTTCAAAAATGTAACTTTTTTACATGTCACTATAAATTTTAATGAATGATAATAGTCAACAAGCGTCAACATGAGTGTTAATGTATAATCTAACTGAATGAATGTAGCAATGATTGACTGTAATAGGATGTTAAAAAGCCACTTTTACAGTGCGATGGACAGAAAATGCCACGTCTAGTATTTATAGTATCTAACAACTCCACAATCCTGAAAAGTACTTTTTTTTTTTCAATGGACTGGCATGGAGACGTGAGATGATGAAATCAGTGTGTGTGTGTGTGTGTGTGTGTTTTTTGTGGTCCTTTCCATTTGCCTTGACCAAACTCAAGGTGTGATACAAGACTGCTGAGACTATCCTGGCAGCCAGTAAAGGAAACAGCGTTTCTTTTCAAGAAAGAGTTATAAAACGCCCACCCGGGATCCAAATTTATATCGAATAAAAAAGGAGTGTGAACTGTAAAGGCTCCTCTCTGGTGTGGAATCATTTATTTTGGAGACACGTCCATGCCCAGTTCTCTAGGGCCTGGTGTTGGTGTTATTTTTTGCTGCCTGTCAAACCAAATGTACATGGTGTGCCGTTCAATTGTTCGGCTGCTTCCAAGTTGGCCGACTGTGATTGACTGGCAATAAACTATGCTTTGCTTAACTGACAGATCATGGGCATTACATCAATGGAGAAATTCTGTCATTGGATTCATCGTGAGACATATAATATATCTGCAAAGCAAAATATAAGAGTGGTAACTGCTTGATGGGGACGTTGTGGCTCATGCTGGGTTATCATTACCCATTATGTAAAGCTATTTGGTGGTTTTGCAACGTTTCACGTTGTACGGTCAAGACCTCATCCAGGAGACGTCAGTGTATTACAAGCAGCCAAAATGGGAGAGTGAGACATTGGGACAGCCAGTTTTCGTCTCGCCCTTTGCTGTTAGGAGAACTGCAGTCCTCCACCCTCAATGATTGAAAAGGAAGAAATGTTGCCATAACATTGACCCACAGAATTGTTGTCGGTCTCACTGGCCAGCGTCATCCAGCCCGTTATCGTGACTCCAACAGCATTGATCTTCCTTTTCATGTTTAACGAGGTAAGTGAATGGAGAAGGGGATGTTCAAAGAGCAGGCAGCGTGCAGGACCTGCTGTATATCACAGTCAGATTGGTCGGGCTGATAGGTGAGGGTGAGGAAGAGCAGTGGCCCGGGATAAGGGTTCCCATGGGAAGAGCTGACTGCACTTCAGTCTGTTAGGGCCAAAGAAGGTTTTCAGAAAAAAGACAAACAATTTTATGTTTTTAAGAACATTTTGTAATGTTGCCATTACGTTTCCGATGTTATTAGAACGTTTAATTTCCTCATTATGTAATTGAACCACAAAGTGTTGTTTTCAAACTGAAATGTTTAGACCAAACAAACTTAAATTCAAAACATGTTAAACAAGATTGGACTAATATACAATCTAACAACAATAAAACAGAGCCCAATAAAGCACATAACTATGAAACACTGCTGACTATTAAACCAAACTAGCTGATTCATTAACTCACGGACATGTAAAGAATGTTACACTAAAAATGTACTGTGATTTTGCCGAAAATTTTGTCCTAACCCTATCCCTACCCCTAAACCTAACCCTACCCATAAGTTACCCCAATATATGAGTGAAATGACAGGTGAAGCACCTAATGCTGTTTGTAAGCCTAAACTTCACATAAAGTGTAAACCTGTCCCTCAAATCTGATTGGTTAATTGGAAAGTGTTTCCAGGAGCAACAAAGATGTTGATCCAGGAACATGGTGCACTTGGTGAAATTAGGTTAACATATTAAGGGCCCTTTCACACCTACCTTGTTTGGTCCGGACTTTCGGACTTTTCAGTTTGGTCCGAATCAAAATTACAGGTGTGAAACCTACCCTGGACCACGGTCCGGACCAAACAGATGAAATTTGGTCCGACGAAAAGAGGTAGTCTCGGTCCGGATCAAACTGAACAAAGGTTTGGTTCGTTTCTAGTGTGAAAGCATTTCTGTATGGTTCGGACTTTCAGACCTTTTACAGGAAGTTCTGGTGGTTCCCGCATAGCCGAAAAAACAGAAGGTGGCAGGAAAAATGAGCCGTGGTACGGTGGTAGCACATGGGGAGAGGAGTAGACGAGGTTTTTTAATTGAAGTATGGTCTGATGACATAATAAGAAGTCAACTCGATAAAATGTTCGCACGATGAGGACGTTCATTTGGCGAATTTGAACTGGCCTTGTGTATAGTTGGTGCTTCAGGTAATTATGCTATAAAAATAACAATATTTGCAACGATATGCGTCTGTTCATTCATGTTGTCAAAGTTACCCGCCGAACTGACAACACGCTGACGTCAGACGCACGTCCATTTACAAACCAATCAATGTCAAGATGCAGCCCACATAGATGATGACGACAGGACGCAAGTATGTCACGTAAAGTTCTTTACTGCGCTCGCATAATTGCAGTGTGAAACCAAACCAGAACTTTCTGAAAGTATAAAATGTATCAAAACGTGAACTTTGGTTCGGACTTTGGTGCGGACTTTCAGGTGTGAAAACGCCCTAAGAGAACCTTCACAGAGCATTAGCCAACATTCGTTTTCTCATTGTCCAAATGCACCACAAAATTGTCGTTTTCAAACTGAAAATGAATAACAAACTTCATTTAGACTAAAAACATGTTAAGAAAAAACTACAATCTAACAACAATAAAATTGAAAGTAAAATAATGAAATAAATGAGGCCAATAAAGCACCTATAACTAATGAAACACTGCTAACTATTAAACTAAACGTTTGATTTATTAACTCTCAGACATTTAAAGAACACTTTGAGAGAACGTTCTATTAATGTTACTACAAGAACATTTTGTTTGTAATTTTAAGAGAACTTTTACAGAACGTTTGCCAGCTTTCAGAGACGATCCCTGGTTAAACAGAAAAAGTAAAACTGAAAGACAATGAGAAAGAGCGGGCGAGAAGGAAAAAAACTAGGCTTTGATATCCATGGCCAGGCGTTTTTTTTTATGTGCCTGCCTTCCCAGTCCGACTGTGTGAGCTCCAGGGCTCATAAAGCAGACCTTTGGCTGGGGACCTCTAGAGTTAGTTGGGCAGGACATGTTTGAAAGTGTTGCTTGAATGCACCGCCAGGCGGAACAGCACCCAGAGGACTCTTAAGACTGTGATTTCTGCTTGCTGCTGGCGACTTGAGCTTTATCCTGCTTCCAGTTCAATCCTATAAGTGTCATTCGCAGCCTGTGTGATCATGGAGCAGAGGGGCTGCAGACAGAGCGGCCTGTTAAAAATGGAAATCATTCCATTTGACTTCAGAACTTATCATCGTACTACTATAATTCTGTTTGAGGGATCCGTCTCGTTGTTGTTTTTGCATACATGTAATAATAGAATATGATACTCATGCGCAAGCCTGTCAGGTGTGTTGTAGTTTCTCTAGACGAACAGAGAAACAGCATAGGGCTTCAGACTGAAGAAAGGAGTCATCAGCTCCAAAAATAAAACATTTAGTAAGCAACCATAAGTCCCAACTGAATCCTTCGAAGGCCACGAAGGTCAGACTGAGCGTTTTTAAATGGGACGGTCTATACCGGAGGACTGTTCAGTGACTGTCGTCACTGGCGCGCAATGAATTCTGGGGTAGGCAAGGCCACGAAGGATCCATCTGATGTATCCTTCATTTCACGAGAAACAAAGGCCGCATTTGGAGGCCGCATTTGAAGGAGCCTTCAAATTGTGACAGCCTTCGTTACTCCGCGGTGACACAATCTGCAGAAACATAAATTGGTGCCTATGGCTTCTTCAACCCCTGATCAAACACAACTGAACCAGATAATTAATATCTTCAGGAGCACTTGATAAGGTGTGTTGGATCAGGGATCTTTAGGGGCTGTTTAGACAACGACTGTTTAAACGTTAAAAAAATGTATGCGTTTTGGCCGTTCATTTACACGACAACGGCATTTTGGGTGGCTGAAAACGCAAACTTTTGAAAACGGGTTTC